CTGGCAGGTAGCTGCTCCTGCGACTTTGAATTCTCCTCTTCTTTGCTCAATCCAGACAACCATGAGTGATCGAAAGGCAGTGATCAAGAATGCGGACATGTCCGAAGAGATGCAGCAAGACTCTGTGGAGTGTGCTACTCAGGCCTTAGAGAAGTACAACATTGAGAAGGACATTGCTGCTCACATCAAGAAGGTAAATGCTTACTTACAACATCCTCCTGAAATCTCTATGCACATGAAAAATCAAGCAGGGAGAATGCTGCTTGGCAAGTAGCTCTAGAGGAACAAGTTCTAGAGGCACTAGATAATCGAGTTGGACTTTCTCTGTTGGCTGGTGTCCTTATGTTCCTTTCCCCACCCTTTACGTAGACTTTTCCAGGTCCTTCTGTTTTTCTTCTTGCAGTACCTTCTACTTCAGCCTTTTCTGCCACTGTCCCATTGTCCAGGTGAGCAGAGAGTGGCAGCTGACTGTCCCTGTGATGAGCTGCTAAAAAACACAGGGGCTCTCTGGAGCCTATTTGAGAAGTGGTGGTTTGCTGACCTTGTAATAAGCAGTTGTTTTGTGGTTTGTTTTTTTTTCTCCCCACCACATGTAAGACAAACTGTTCATGCTAATGCAGAACAGATGGTTCGTAGCTTCCAGTGTGTCAGATTTTCTCTGTGACTCCTACTGGGAGCTTGATTGAGCTCCAAGTAGTCAAAGGCTTTTGTTGAACAGAACAAACTCTTGCATGCTCTCACAAATGGTCTCTTCAGCTGATGGGCATTAGATATTGCAGTATATAACCCATGACAACGTTTTACTCATAGTATACATGTATATGAGTTTATTTGAAAGTCATAGCAGGCTCCTGACTACAGTGTGTAGGAAGAACATGGGCTCAGGACCTGGTATCAAGGATGTGGCAAAGAATTTTCCATCTGGAGTTCTTTCAGCACCCTTGTTAAACAGGTAATGGAGTCAAATGAATAGCTTAACTGGTATAGATTCAGAACAAGCAGTGGTGTTCTTAAAACATATGGTTTGAGATCATGGTGTGACTTTTAGGGAAAACTTACTTCCTCAAACATATGTTCTAAGCTTATTCCTGCTCAGCTTGGAAGCTTTTTTTTTTTGTGTCTGACTAAGCAAGAGATAAGTTAAAGTGACAGATGAACTTTGCACTTAAGAGCATATGCTGCTCCTTAATTGCCTACTTTCAAAAGTGATACTTGCTAATAAGACATATCACTGCAAAAACACCCTGTTTGAGAATCATACCAATATTGTCTCAAATGCTGAATTCCTACTTCTCTCTTCTGTAGGAGTTTGACAAGAAATACAATCCCACTTGGCACTGCATCGTGGGAAGGAACTTTGGCAGCTACGTGACTCATGAGACCAAGCACTTCATCTACTTCTACCTCGGCCAAGTTGCTATTCTCCTCTTCAAGTCTGGTTAGAGCCATGGACTGTTACTGAAACTTGTACCCGGTTACAGGACTGCACACTAACTCCAAACAGCCTCCTACCTTCAGCCTTCCTGAGGATGCAGACCTTGATCTTCAGGTCTTTTGTTGTATTGTTAATGGTCAGGGATTTTGTTGTAGCAGCTGATATTTTCATTGTGGCTATAAAAAAGGCAAAAGTGTCTTCCTTGTATTTATTTTCTTTCAAAAGACAGCTTCTTTGCTAATAAAACTATTGGAACAAGTTTGTCCTTTAAGAGTGTTCTCTATGCTTCTGCCCTCTTGAGGCTTGTATTACCCTCTATTCTACTGTGAATCCTTGCCTCCATTTCACCCCCCCAAATCCACAGCATCTGAAGCCTGAGCTAATCTATGAATACATCATCAGTCAGTAATTGAGAACTGCAGGAGATATTTTCCCCTGAGAGAAAAGAGACTGCTTTTCAATTCTTGATACACATTTTCAGCATGCACAACCTCCACTGCAAGTTCTGGATAGATGCTGCTGCTTTTCTCATTTCAAGTGAACTGGTGAGCTAAAAGCAACAATCCTTTCATCTCCCAATTTTCAGAAGAGACAAATTTTCACACTGTCACTTCAGAATGTAAATTTATATTTTCTGTAGGTTTTTTCCCCTGTATCCTGCTACAGAAGTACCTGTTTTTCAACAGTGTAGGTTAAAGAACAGAAGGAAATGAACAGTGTTTTCACATAGACGTTATGCATCTACCACTGAAAGAAAAAGACTTCATATAGTGGTGAAGTCATGTCATTCCTTTCTTAGAAAGGATACCTTCTTAGAAAGGTTACACATAATGACTTAAGTGAAAAAAGTTGATGCAGAGCTGTTTTATTTCACAAGCCTTCCATGTGCCTTTGAAAGAAGTAGAGGAATCATGGGAATAATCCCTTCGAGTCCACATGAAAAAGATAATGACAGCTTAATAAAAAGCTAGTAAATCCAAGTTTCTTCTCATTGGTACAATATCCTCCTTGAAGCTTACTAAGAAAAGGAGGCATCAGTCTGTTTCTGTATCCACATCACTGGTAACTGAAGTTGCTTCCTTTGTAAACTTTGCTCAGTTTTGGCAATGTCCTTTACATTGCACTTGAAGAGAAATGCAAGTGTAAGAAAACACTACAGGAGTGACTTCATCCAGAGGTTTCTTGGGGGGAAAAAAAGGTAGCTGATGTTCATCTGGGTCTGACTACTGAGCAAGTATCTGTCACACAAGTTCTTAACACTCCTCTTCAATCTTGATAGTGTCAAAATTCCACAGCCTTCATAATCCTCAGAAAAATTACACTTTGCATGTTTTCCTACATAGTAGACTCACAGTTTGAAGCCTGAGTGAATGGCAACAATGCCCAAATTTAAATTCTGATAATCCACTTTAAAAAAACCTGCATCTTCTATCATTGCCTTAAATTCCTCCTGAAAAATAATAGTGCCATAATTATAACAACCCGAAGGCCTATAAGCCTGCAAGATTATGCTGGGACCATGTTTTGTGTGTTAGTGAATTCAGAAAAATACTGTCTTACCTGAGGGGGGAAACGTCGGATGCTCTCCACGAGATACTGGTAGGATTTCCAGTCACCAGCGATAACCTCACCCAGAACAGGGATAACCTGGAAACTGTACAAATCGTAGAGCCTGTGCAGACAGACAGCAAATACAGATTAATACAAACAAGTTGATCTCTGTACCACTACACTATGGAGTCTGTATCTGATTTTAAAAGTGCACAATGAGGTGGCTTCAAAGTGTCTCCATCTCTTATTCTGGCCAAGTACAAATAAGAGAGCCTTATGCCATGGCATAAAGTGTCACCACGTTCCTACCTGGAAAGAAGAGGGTTGCTGACGTGACTAAATTCAAGGCAGAGAAATCTTCCTCCTGGTTTCAGCACACGATAAGCCTCCTGAAGTGCCTGAGACAAAGCAGATGTGCTAAGTTTGTTTCTTTAGAACAGCACCTGCCTATTATCAATGCCAGGTGATGGCAATTCAGTGATGAACTGAGGGCAGTAAAGAGAATCCTGATTGGCAATCTCCAATATTTACATGTGGAGAAGCATGCCAAGACAAGTACAAAAAAAGCTCCAAACAACAAAATCAAACCACAAACACTCCTGCTGTTACATAAATAGATTTATACCAGGCTTTGTGTCAAAACTGTGATGTCAGGTTTGCAATTTTTCTTCTTTTTCCCTATTCTTAGTTGATGAATGTTTGCCAGCAGAGCTCTTGTAATTACAGACCAAACCCAAAAAGGAGAAGGTGACTCAGCTACAAGCTGAAAATAAAAAGAAGGCGTGATAGATTTTTTTTTTTTAAATCAAAAGAAAATATTTTACTCAACTGTGAGGCACACCCAAAGGATGAAAGAAGAAACGATACTGGGTTTTGGATGAGCAACGTGTGAGAACAGGGAGGAAGGAGAAAGAAGAAAATCTTTGGCCACTTTGAAAAGTACATCCTATATGCAAAATAAAACACCTAAGAAGAACCAAGACAAAATTATGTTTACAACTGTATGTTTTTCATACAAGAGCACAGCAGATTTGTATTCAAGAACCTCTGCAGGTTGTACATCTGCTTGGCTTCAACCATCATATTCCTAAGGGATAAAATATAAACAATACACATACGTGACCAGAGCTTTGCAAAACAATTGGAGGCTTGGATGTGTTTTGTATCAGGTCTCCAGGGAGCTATGCTATCAGACTGCTGTATCCACAAAGGTGTATAAAATAGAGCCTGTGCTTTGGAAGGGTGTGAATGAAGCACCATGAAAGGCCATCCACATTAGAAGTTCAAAGGTATACAAGTTCAAGGTGGTTCAGATCCAAATGCTACACCTTCCACAGAAGGAGCATTGCCAAGGATGTAACACACTCCTCCAAACCAGACAACTAGTCTAGCTAGACAGATGATCTAACCTATCTTCACCCACAAGACAGCTAGTCATTCTCAAAGGACAGATACTGTTTAGAACAAAGGGTACTACCTACCCTAATTAAGATGACACTCCTCCTTCATTGGAAGCCCTACTACCAGCCAGCGTAAAGACGCTGAGCAGCAGTGGGCTGAATGTGTTAGTTCAATTGCAGTGGTGGCAGCAGCCAACTGCTTCCCACTCTCTGCTCTGGGAGCTCTGCTGGCTCAGGCAGGCGAACAAAACAGGGCAGGAAACGTTGGACCCGCTGCAGGTGGGATATACATCAGGTGCTTCAGGAAGACGTGAGACATGCAGAGTGACTGTGCTGTGCATATATAGATCCAGTCACGGGGAATCACTGTAGCATTTGGCTTTTTTGCCTTAGGAAGGGACTGTGTGGCTTGCCAAGCTGGAAGGATTAGGTGCAACTAGTATAAACCTAACTTTTTATGGCAAAGGTGGGGCATTTAATTGCATTCTTCATTCAAACAAGTTGCACGCTACATTCACTTATTTTAAATGTTTCAGGAGTAGACAATGATGTTCCTTTATCCAAAGGAGTTCCTCCTTTGCTTCCTCCGCTAGAATAAAAGAACCTCAGATGAATCTTAAGAACCCCACGTCAGGATACACTATAGCAACTTACCAAATCAATACGAGTGACATTTCGGATTCCAAAGGCGATTGTGTAAACATCAAACTTATCATCATCAAAGGGCAACTCTTCAGCATTCCCAAGCACCCAGGACAAGCCTGTAGTAAAAGCCAAGGACCCAGTATTGAACAAACCTTCTATAACTCAGAATGCTCCAGAAAGACTAGAACTTATCTATTCCAGAAGGAAATTATTATTAATAAAGTAATATTTAAAAATAATACTTCAATTTTGCATTTTTGTTGGCGGAAAGACACCTTAGTCTATACTCACAAACCTTTCAAGACCCTGTACTATACAGCTGTCTTCCAAGCAAAGTAATTAATTTTGCAGATCAGCCAAAACATTCTTCTACAAATACACACACATTTTGCTTGCAGTGCCTCAGTCTGCCAAGATTTCACCCAAATCTTGCGTCGTAGTGGAATGCAACTGGCTTCCAGAAACTGGCTGCCATTTGGTTGTAGCAAAGTTGCAAAAAGAGAATCTCTGCTCAAAGACTAACTATAAACAATGATTAATGTCTTGCCATGCAACAATGGCCAAGACATTTAAAACATTTTTCTAGAAAGCTTCCATAGATTGAGGAACATGAAAAGCCACACTCCTTCCATCAGCACTATCAGTATGTGATCCTGTTGCAGCTGCGTTGCTTCCCAAACCCCAATGGATCAAGGCCATGTCTCTATGTGGATGTTCAGGTTATTTGTACCAAAAATAAGACTGCTCAATTAAGAATTAATAGTTCTTAAAGTCACTGGGTTTGGTGACTCAAGTGCCAAATAAAAATACTAACAGAAAAACCACAGGAGTCTTCTGCAACAGAGATCAGCAGTTTCAAAGAGCAGTATGCTAAAAAGTGACATGGAGGAAAGCAAAACATAGCAGAAAACAACAGTTGTTGCCAGGAGACGTTCAAATTCTGTTTTTACAAAATATATGTATTTATAGTTGCAGAAAGTATTGTATGCAAAGCAGCACACATTATTGAAGCAGCAATTATTAGCGTTATTTAATGGTAGACAGTTTGAAAAGACACATAAGAAGTGAGCATCAAGAAAAGGTTTTGAGCAACAGCAAAACTGTCCCTCAGAATACACTGTGGTAAAATTACAGGCCAGGAGTTTGTAAGTGGATACAGAAAAGGGGCTGTTGGTGTGCAATGAGAGGAACTGGGGCATGTGCAGTGCAGCCTACCACTCCAGCCGGCCAAAATGCAGAATCAGAGATTGTGCAACACGTGTTTCTTTTCAGCATGCACAACCTCCACTGTTGGTGAATGTACATCGGAAAATAG